TTTTTATTTATTTACGTTTTTTTTTTTTTTTTTTTTTTTTTTTTGTTAAATCTAAATGAATAATATTTACACTGAACTTCTTATTCCGTGTGTAAAACTACTATATAGATATACAAAATCGCCAAAATCAAAAGTTCTATTCAAAATACTGGAAGAAAATACAAAATCTAATAAGAAAATTTACAACAGAAATAAGAAAAAGAAAATACGCCACATTCATCCATATATTAAAAAAAAAATTTAAACGAGCAAAAATAACATGGAACAAGTTAATTCAAATACAAAACACAATCAACAGCCAATTAAAAAAAAAAACAACAACAAATGATAATGATAATAGTGATAATAATGAAAATAATAATATTATTGCAAAACAGGAATGCATAATTACATATATATATACATATATCAAATTATTTGCTTTATTATACTCATTCACAAAAGTCAAATAAGTATATGTCCGTTTGTCCGTCCGTCCGTCAGTTAAATGACTAAATGCTGTCATCCTCTATTCATATCAATTGCTGAATGAGTATTTTGCAGTCGGTAGCGCCCGACTCCAACAATCTTATTTGTGTTTTTCTTTGGTGAAAAATTTGGTAGTTTCATTCAATCGAGTTGGTTTTGTTTTTGTCAAAACTTTTCGATTTCTTTGGTAGATCGGACAGACATGACATACAGTAGGAGTCCATATTTTGAGCCCAGTTAATAAGTTAGCTAACTTGGTCCAAATTGTTGCCCAGTTGTTGTTGCTTTGCCTTCTGCCAGTAACGCAAAACGATAAAGAGTAAAAGATGAAAACATTTATAATATTTTAGTATTTACAATTTTCTAAGTTTATCCTTCGAAAGTGGAAAATCAGTACAAAGAAAATAGTGAACAAATAGTGAAGAAGAAGAGACAGGACACAAGTGAATAGAAATACATACACACACACGCACACTACACACACACCCAGACACAGAGACAGATAAACAGACAGACAGAATAGCGTATGTTGTAACAGCAAAATTTCTTTATATATACATAT